TGATTTACTATTGCATTTATACAGTTGTTTACATTTCTTTCAACTTTGGTGCCATGCACAAGTTTGTGTATGTGTAAATTTTGATAAAATTTAACTTTTTATAATAGACTTGTGTATATTTTATGGTAGTAAATGATAAAATAGACTAGTATCTACATGTATTTTATGCATTCATGACATATCTAACATTTTCTTAATTTTTTTGATATTTCTAGGCTATGTGGTTCATATGCGAGTTTTTTCAAATTGCCACAAATCTCAAAAAAATTTTTTAATATACTTATTGAAAACAATCCACATATTAATGGACCTCCACAGTTCAAACTCTTATTATTTAAGGGTCAACTATATTACAAATTTGAAGAAATATTATTAACATAGAAAACAAAATTGTATTGGAAAAGCATTACTTATAGAGATAATTAAGTTTTTTTTCAATTAGTGTCTCTGTGGATGTGTTACTTATTGCCAGGATGAGATAATAGCAACACGTTATTCTTATTTTAAAATTTTAAGTGCTAAGAAGCTGTGTTCATAATAAATAGGAATAGAAGGTATATTTTTTTTATCATACCATTCAATTCTTTGAACTCCTTTTGAATACTGTGCCAAAAATTAAACACCAATCTATCTTCGCAACTATTTTTAATGATCTATAGGCGACAACTAGATTGTGGTCTTTTTTAATTTCACTGAAAACAGAAAATCGGAAACCCCTATTTAGCAAAAGGATTTTTTGCTCAGTCAGTAGAATCACTCTTTCAACACAGCACACATACTCAGAATTGTCCTTTTGTTTGGTGCTATGGAAATGTTTCCACCCATTGGAGGCAACATACTTTAGGATACCACTCAGGGAGGCTGAGAGATACAGCTTTCTTTTACAAAGAAGAGATGGTAATTGTGCAAAGAAAGGTGGGCAAGAAGAGCCAGTTAACATTCAACCTTCACCTCAGGCAATTTTTCAAGCCAATCAATTTTAGGATAGTACACAGGGTAGTTTAGATTCTGGAAATCAATTCTCTTAAAACCATTCATGCCTATGTAGTTCTTACAAAGTCTTTGTGCCCTCCAGTTTGAAGGCTTATGTTTAGAGCAAAGGTAAAGAGTTTGAATTGGTTGTAAACCATTTTTAAGAGTTTGGGCCTTCTTTTGAACCTAGTGGGGAGCCACTGAAAATCTTTGCAACAAAGAGTGACATGATTAGTGCTGTGCTTTAGGGAGTAAACCGAGAATGGCTGGCTCCATCCATTCATTCAACCAACAACACTCTCTTCTGCGTAGTGTGGATTCAAAAACGAAGAAAACAAGTCCCCACCATCCTAAAATTTACATTGTAATGGGGAAAGACAAACAAATGTACACAATAGCATAATGTCAGTTAGTGATGGATGCTATAATAAACAGAGATGGCACTACTCTAGACAATGTGGATAGAAAGCCCCAGCACCGTGGAGCTTGCATCCTAATGGTGAAGACAAGAAACAAAGCAAACAGCATAATGCCAGGATAGTGCCAGTACTATTAAAAATTAAGAGGGGTGTGTGTAAAGGGTTAGGAGTTTATTTTTTAGATAGGGGGGTTTAGACATTAGTAGATAACGTCTTAGGATATCTGAGCATTGCCTTGAATAAAGTGATGAAGAATACTACGTGAACATCTATCTAGGTAAAAAGGGTTACAGAGTGTGCATGGGATATTTAGGGAAAACAAAGACAGCTAGCCTTGCTGGAGCAGCTTGAAATAGAAGAAAAATAGGAAATAAAGTTGGAAAGGTGGCCAATTATAAGGTAATGTAAGGTCCTGAGGGTATGGTACTTTGTTTTTTTCTGGTGAGGAGAGAGAATATACTTTGCACTGATTTTTGTGTTAAAGGGATCACTCTGGCTGCTTTACCAAGAATAGATTCCAGGAAGGTAGGATTAAGGAACCTTGGATTATGCTGGTATTATAGGAGAGGCTGTTTAAAGATTATAATCAAGGGAAGGAAGATCAGCTAATAATATCTCATGTCTTTCTAATGAATGCTAGAATTACAAAATGAACAAAAGGAGAACAAATTCCTAAGACTCTATAGAGGGAGGGTAACTTGGAAACTGAACACGAGTGGCAGCATAGTTGGAAAGAATGAGGAAAATAAAAGGCAGGACCGAGGCTCTAACAATTGGTAGTTTGAAGAATAGTGGTACCATTAATTACAATAAAGAGATTCAGTTTGGGAGAGAAAGTAGAAGGTGATGGATTTTGACTATGTTGAGTATATATAGATGTAAATGTTCAGCAGATATAAATCATAAATTTACTCTATTACTTTGTCTATTTGGAAATAGACAAAAGTCAAGGCCATTTTCACAAGTCTCAAGGAAAAAGCAAGCAGCTATTCTTTTGGGAGTGTTAAAGCAGAATAAGCAGGAGGCTCATCAGACTGGGGTTGTTTGTGTTTCTGGAGGTCTTAAGTAAGCACATCAAAACTTAACTGGAAATAGTTGTCCTAACTGACTTGGAAAACAAAACAAAACAAAAAATAAACAGTGAGCCTTAGCCAATCACAAACAGCCAACTGGCCAATTAGTTTTACAATGAGGGACCTCTCAGCACACCATATGCAAATAAGGCAAATGACTTATCACACCATGCCCAAATAAGGCAAACACCTAGTTGTGTTCAATCAGGTAATTTCTCTATCCTGCTTCTCTGTTCAGCTGTAGAAGCTCTCTACTACATTGCTGCAGATGAGATATCTGAACCTTTTCTGGTTCAGAGTCTTGCCAGATGTTAAATCATTTTTTGCTCAAACAAACTGTTAAATTTTTTTAAAATTTTTCTTTTAACAGGAGTGATAATTAATGTGGGCAAAATGTTCACATAATATTGGGAAATCAAAAAGCTGGGAGATGAAAGAGATTTATTTGTAAATCCCTTTAACAAGGCGGTGTAGCATAAACATGGCTGTGGAGCCAAACTGCCAATGTTCAAATTCCTTCCTTTACCCTTTTCTAGATGTGTAAGTTTGAATTTGATCTTCTGGGACTAACTTTCTTCATCTGAAAACTGTTATATGAGAACCTACCTGTTACGGTTGTTGTGGAGCAAGGATTCTTAATCTGGAGTCTACAGAATTTTAGCAGCTGTGAATCTTGTATTGAAAAAAATTACAATCTTATTTCTATTAACCTCTCACAAAAATTTAGAGCTTCCTTCAATTATAAAGGCAGGGAACAGACCACAGTAGTATTAGCAGTACCCATGGCTTTGTTTCCTATAGAAATGACAGATATTTTCATATCACAGTATAGTTGTTGCAGATATCTTGAAATACTGTGATCATCACTACTTCAAAATTAACATATTTATTAGAACTGCCAATATACTGCATGTGATTGCAAAATTTATTCAGACTTCATGTCACTTAGTTGGCCAAGCATCCTACAGTTCTGTGCATCTTGGTTAATCATAATCACACTGTGAAGTCTCAATGTTTACACATTGGTTCTCACATTCACACTGCTTTCCAGTATTCCCAAAATACAAATGTTTGTTGATCAACATGAGAAAGGAGGTGAATTGTTTCAATTTTGATAATGGTATTTTATTATAGTTGATTCCTTGGTAATCCTATATATTCAATTTAATGCACTTAGAAATTTGTACTTATTTGTATGAATTTAAGGGGTACAAGTGCAATTTTGTCATGTGGGTATATTGTGTAGTAGTGAAGTCTGGGCTTTTAGTGTAACCATCACCTGAATAATGTACATTGTACCTGTTAGGTAATTTCTTTTATCCCTCACATCCCTTCTACTTCTTGAGTTTTCTTCCCTCCCTTCCTCCCATCCTCCCTTCCTTCCTTCCCTCCTTCCTTCCTTCCTTCCTTCCTTCCTTCCTTCTTTCTTTCTTTCTTTCTTTTTTTTTTTTGAGACAGAGTTTCACTCTGTTGCCCCGGCTAGAACGCCATGGCGTCAGCCTAGCTCACAGCAATCTCAAACTTTTGGGCTCAAGCAATCAATCCTCTGTCTCAGCCTCCCAAGTAGCTGGGACTACTGGCATGCGCCACCATGCCCGGCTAATTTTTCTTATATATTTTTAGTTGGCCAATTAATTTCTTTCTATTTTTAGTAGAGACGGGGTCTCGCTCTTGCTCAGGCTGGTTTCAAACTCCTGACCTTGAGCTATCTTCCCGCCTCAGCCTCCCAGGGTGCTAGGATTACAGGCGTGAGCCACCGACCCTTCCCGAGTTTTCGATGTCAATTATTCCACACTCTCTGCCCATGTGTGCACATTTATCTCCCACTTGAGAGAACCTGCAGTGTTTGATTTTGTTTCTGAGTTATTTCACTTAAAATAATGTACTATTTGAAGACTGCATCTATAGGCTTCATCAGATCATCAAAGGTGTTCGTGGCACAAATGAAGGAATCCTGAGGTAGAGGAATAAAAAGGGTACACGAGATCCTTTAAAAGAAGAGTACTAGCCCCATCTCAAATGTTCAATACACGGTCTGTAGCTATTGTTCTTAAAATATATACAGAACAGGAATTGCATTAGGCCTATTCACTTCTGCATTCAAAACGTAAAATATAGCTGGCATAGTGCTCTGCACTCTGGCATTCCATCAATGCTGAATGAATGAATGAGTAAAGTAGAAAATAGGTTGGCGCCTCAGGCCCCTCAATTGGGACAGGAAGGAACAGCTGTTAAGTTGTGGAGCGGCTTTTAAGAATCCAGGGTGCTCTGGAGTGCGTTAGATAGATGGCTTCAGAGGGCTCAGCAGGAGACAGAGCGGTGTCCCTAACAATGTCTCAGCGGGAGTGGAGATTGCCGGTGGCTACCCGGGCCAGGTTCCTTCTTATTCCTCAAAGCTCTCTTTTATCACCCAATTAGGTCTGACCAAGTCTCCAGGTGAAGGGTTGGACTAACAGGCTCCTCGCCTTTTCTTGGGACCTAGTACCGGTTTCAGTGGTAGAACAGCCCTCGATTAAAGTGAGCTAGCGGGAGACCGCGGGTCTTCACCGCGCCGGTCTCGGGGAAAGCTCCGGGCAGAGCGCACGCCGCGCCCAGGAGCCCGGGCTCCTTTGCCACGCCCACTTCCTGCCCCATCCCGCGCCTTTCCAGGTCCCTCTCCCGGTGAACCGGATGCTCCGTCAGTCTCCTCCTCTGCGTCCTCGGCTGCTGCCCGGGTGCCTCACGACGCCGCTGCCACCCCCGAGGGCCCAGCCAGGGGGCTCCCGGAGGCTGGCCTGGCAGGTGCGGAGCGCGGTAGGAGCTGGGCGCGCACGGTTACCGCGCGTGGAGGAGACACTGCCCTGCAGCCATGGGTGCCAGGGGCGCTCCTTCACGCCGGAGGCAGGCGGGGCGGCGGCTGCGGTACCTGCCCACCGGGAGCTTTCCTTTCCTCCTCCTCCTGCTGCTCCTCTGCATCCAGCTCGGGGGAGGACAGAAGAAAAAAGAGGTAGAATGAATCCCTTTGGCCGTCTCCTGTGGGCCAGGGCGGGCTGCGGCGGGCTGTGTTGCTAGGCAGCCTCGCCGCGTTGCTAGGCAGCCGGGCTGCGGGCGTGGGCGATGGCGGCCGCCGGGCGGGAGCGGTGGGGCTGGGAGGCCTTTGGGCGTTTCTTTTGGGCTCCATATTCTCCTACGTGGAGTTCGCCCAGTCTTGACTTGAAAAACGAGGAAGCGTTCACTTGATTCTTGAGTCAGGGCGCCTCAAGTCTTTCAGACCCTGGGCGTTTTGACTCTCGGCTAGAGGCGGGGCTTCGGGCACTTGTGTCACTAAAAGGGGTGTGTTGGATGTGAAAATACCCTTCAGTAGTATTTATAAACCTACAGAAGTCATTTCTCCCTTTTTTTCCTTTACTCTCTTTCTTTTGTTATTCATTTCAAGAGGCAACAGAACACTGAAAGTGTGTTTTAAGTTATTCTCTATTTTTAATTATACATTTCTAAAACTATGTCTTACTCTGTACTTGTGAGAATATCCTTAAGTTATTTGTTATGCAAATCTTTTTCTGAAGTTCAGACCACCTGATTTCAATCTCAGTTCTACCATTGATTTTGCTGAAAGTGAGATTTGAGGTGACTGTATTTACAGTAGTCGTAGGTATTTAAGGTAGTTTTAGAGTTATTTGTGATGTTCAGTTATCCATCATGGATGGTTGATCTTGCAGCTTCAGAAAAAAATTTATTTTGGGAATGTAGCCAAGGTTTCTAATTGTGGACCGTTTTGGTGCGAGTACTGTGCTTATATAATTAAAGATGTTTTTTTCCTGGTGAAGTTATACACCTACACGTGGCTCAAAATCTGAATCAGGTTTAAGCTATTACCAAAATCATCCTAATAGCTGAGAGGAGAGAGTGAAAAAATAGCCTCACCTGCAAAGTAATTCTGATTCTCTTTCTCTTTATTCTTTGCTTTGAACAACCATGCGTTCAATATTAACTACTGTTCTTCTAATTTAGCTTTTTAAAAAATGAAAGTAGGCATGTAAAGTTCTTGATGGAATTCTGGTAAGGGATTTAGAGAAGAACCACTGTTAAATCAAAATTGTGTTTACAAATACAAAGTAAAGATATATTTTCTAGCACTTGGCATTTATATACCATATTCCAAGAGTTTTAGGTTTCATAGTTCTTCATGAGAAGGGTAGAGATCGAAAAGTAGATAGTTTCTTGTGAATTATCAAGGCAGAGGGCAATCAAAGAGTATGAGGAACTCCATGGAAATTCTAATGTTTTATCTTCTAGGAAGATCACTGTGACTATACTACTTTTACATCGAAGGGAGAAAAAAATTCTAAAAAGTGTACATGTTCATAGCATCTGAGTATCTCCAATTGTAAGACTACTTTAATATGTGGAAATGTTAATTTAGTATAATTAAATACAATAATATCTGTTTCTATTAAAATATTGTACAGAAGGTATTTTAAAAATGAAAAATTACGGAGAACATTGTGGAGGATTTAAAAAGGGTGTTTTCAAAATTTGTTGTAAGCAGCAGAGACTAATACTAACATGTTGTTGTTATAGTGTACACATATTTTACTTAAGGAAGAGAAGAGCAAAATGATAACTTAAAATAGTTGAATACTTCATTCAGTGAACATGCATATCTCCGAAATATAAGCTAGTTCTATATCTGGTACTCAGTTTACAAACTGATCTCTTACAGTACTGGAAAAGAAACATTCTTTATTGGAAATAATGAGAAGTGGTTGGTTACCAGTGTGGCACTTTTGTTGTGGTAGCTTGGGGTTGTGTTGACCATATGTGGTTTCTTTCTTGCTTGCTGATTTTGGAAGCTGATGCCCTATTTAAGATTTGACACCATTGAACTAGAAAGTATGGCATTTGGAACTTTATTTACCACAATAAATATTACTGACATATGTACCAGAGCTGTTGACTTGGCATGAGCAGTGTTTTTTTCCTTCCTTCTGGGGAAGTCAAACTGAAGTCTAAAGTTGAGCCTGGAGTCAAGAATGAACATTCCTTTCTTGAAAGGAAGTAATACTTACCATGATTGTAGTTACCACCATGGGTTTTTTTTTTTTTTTTTTTTGAGACAGGAGTCGTCACGTTGGTTGCCCAGGTAGAGTGAGTTGCCGTGGGCAGCAGCCTAGCTCACAGCAAACTCAACCTCCTGGCTCAAGTGATCCTCCTGCTCAGCCTCCCAAGTAGCTGGACTACAGGCATGCCACCATGCCCGCTAATTTTTGTATATATTATTTTTAGTTGGTCAATTAATTTCTTTCTATTTTTAGTAGAGATGGGTCTTGCTCAGGCTGGTTTCAAACTCCTGACCTCGAGCTATCCGCCCGCCTTGGCCTCCTAGAGTACTAGGATTACAGGCGTGAGCCATCACCACGGGTTTTTGAGTTAGATGGTCCAATTACAACTCAGCCTCTAATTGTGTGACATCAGGTAAACCACTTAACCTCCCTGCATTTTAGTTCCCTTGTTTTAATACTACTAAGTGAAATATCCCAAGAATGGAAAAACAAGCACCACATATACTACCCAGCAGACTGGTATTAACTGAGCAACACCTAAGTGAACACATAGGTACTACAGTAATAGGGTATTGGGCAGGGGGAGGGAGTATAACATACATAAGAGTGAGATGTGTACCATTTGGGGGATAGTCATGCTGGAAACTCAGAATTGTGGGGGGAAGGGTGAAAAGGCATTTATTGCAACCTTAAAATCTGTACCCCCATAATATGCCAAAATAAAAAAAATTAAAAAAAAATTCAGATACAGTACTTACATCTGAGGATTGTTGTTGGGATTAAATAAGACTATATATATAAAGTGCTTAGTGCATTGCCTAGAATATAACAAATGATCACTAAGTGGTAGCTGTTACTTTGAATTCTTCATTTAAATGAAAACATTAGCAGTATGATGAGATTCTAATATGTGATAAGATTTTTTAATTGAGAAATTTTTGCTAAATGAACTGTATAATAGTCAATTGTATGATCTCTGGAATAAATTATTACTTATGAAACACTGAGAATTCCAAACTCAAGTCTTAAGTTGTTTGTGAATTTCCCAGGGGGAGATTTTGCATCATAGTATTGGTGATACTCGGTGTTGGTGTGGTGTGTGTGTGTGTGTGTATGTATTATTATGTATATGCTTATTTTTACACACACGATGCTTCTTTAAGACAGTTTCATTCTTTAAATATTATTAGTTCTTTTTTTTTTTTTTGAGACAGAGTCTCGCTTTGTTGCCCGGGCTAGTGTGAGTGCCGTGGCGTCAGCCTAGCTCACAGCAACCTCAAACTCCTGGGCGTCGAGCGATCCTTCTGTCTCGCCTCCGAGTAGCTGGGACTACAGGCATGCGCCACCATGCCTGGTAATTTGTTTTATTAGTATATATCAGTTGGCCAATTTAGTTCTTTCATAGTAGAGACGGGGTCTCGCTCTTGCTCAGGCTGGTTTCAAACTCCTGACCTTGAGCAATCCGCCCGCCTCCGGCCTCCCAGAGAGCTAGGATTACAGGCGTGAGCCACCGTGCCCGGCCTAAATATTATTAGTTTTGCCATATTCTCTGTTTGAGAATGTAGTCAAGAGAAATAGTTAATAGGCAAAGAAGATGGGAGATTTTCATAGTCATTATCCTTAATTTAATTGAATATAGTTATTAGATACTAATTTTTGAGTCCTCAAGTCACGTTAAGCAATGTGAGTTTGTGAGAGAGTTTGGCTTCTTAGTAGTATATTATTTGCATATTCATATTTAATGCATTTTGCTTTTATTTTGACTCTCTGTTTTTTACGTCGTTAACACTTATCAGTTAATCAGCTTCATTTAAATTTATAATAATCTCTTCTGATAATGTAAAAATAGCTCAAATTCTGTAATGATTTCCAGTACACTTTTTGACTTTGCCACCATCAAAAGCAGCTGTTATAATAATTTATCCTATCTGCGAAGAATGTAATTACCTAATAGGCCATGATATGTAGATAACAATGAATATGTTATATGAAAAATTGAACAGCTCATAAACATTTTCTAAGAAGTAAAATTTTTGCCTAAATGAAATATATTTCAATTGCCTTTGATGTAATGTCTGTATGTCATTAATGTTTTTAGGCACATTATACACGGAGATGTATAACATCCAATTATTTTTTGTAGCACAAATGTGAAACAAACTTTACTATCTTAGCAAATGATGAAAAGAGAAAGGATGGAGGTAAGCAATGGATGGATATTGCCTTTAAGCAAAGAACCAATGGGGAAGAAAAAATTTGCAAACACAGCACAAAAAATGCATAGTAATTATACATTAATATGTATATACATATACACAGATGATATGGATGCCAGACAGTTTCATTTAGGTTAGGTTATATGTGTGATGACTTCTTGGAGAGTGATGGAAATGACAGGTCTTATCTAGAAGAGCCAAAGCTGCTTGTCAAGACTGCCACAGTGTCATGGATGGTGGCAGAAGACATGGGATTCCTGTGTCACAGAGGAAGGATAGGTTATTACTCACAGCAATAGAATTGCCAGAGTATCAGCATTTGCACTGGTTCCTTGAGCCTCCATTCACACAGGGCAACATGAAAAGGGCCAGATGATGCCCGTACATGTAGTGAGTTGCATTGCAGCAGAAGAGCTTTGAATTTAGGGAACTTAGATCTTTTAAAATTTATTTGGCCTCTGCCCTAGAGGGAGATGTTTTATCCTTATTAAAACTCAAAAATAAACAAACATGCCCATTTTTCTGGAAGAGGACTGTTTTCCATGGCTATGTGCTGTACAAACATCCTTGAAAAGATGGTCCAGAACAAGTCAGTCCTTCCACTTGCCAGTTGTGTATGAACCCTCGAAGACTTCTCTCTCCAAGTAAGAGATAGCAACTCTGTCAAGAGGGAATATTTTCAGGATTTTTTCCTCCACGTACATTCATCCCAGCATGTTCAGTTCCAT